TAGAAACTTATGTCTTTCTTTAATAATAGACTAGGTTGAAATGTCCAAATGCCGTCCCTAGTGCTTTTAGTCTCATTATTACAAATGTGGTCAATACAAACCATTTCATTAAAAATTCTCACATATTTTAGGGGGTCTCATGGTTCATGGTTTCCCTTTCTGACTAGTGAGGAGTGCCAGTAAGCTCCAGAAGACAATCCAAATTAAATATCATTGCACTGGTTTAAACAACTGTATGCCCTTTGGATTCGGCCACATGTATCGTTGTGACAAAGTATTCTTATCTAGGCATATATTGATTTTGTGGCAGTTAAAATTACGAACAAAACATTTAAATAAATAAGTATTCTTTTTTTTAAAAAAAGGTATAAAAAGCACAAAGCACTTGAGCATTATGTAATAAAGAAGAAATACGTCATGATTAAAACAAATTATTGGCTTAACCCCACGGTCTAGATAAACAACAATATCAACAATTGCATCACAACACAATTCAATTTCTTGAACATTATTGCAGATGTTAAAATAATAAAAAAACATGTCTATAGAAAGCTTGGTGGTGCAATGCTGTAAAGTCTGCATGCGTGCATTTGGACTGTACAAGTGAGCAAGTGCACAAGTTCAGACGGAGTAACAATAAAATCTTTGGTTCTTCTAGTAAGAAACAATCCTATGCATAAGAATGAAACCTTATACCTACTGAGATACACAATATGTTTCAATTAAATCCAGCTGGTACTGCACAGCATTTCAAAAATAGTTGCTGCAGTAAGCTGGATTCCCTTGATCAAAAGCTGTTTGCAAAACTCATTGCATGTATGTATATAGATCTCTTTAAACAAATAAACACACTTTCAAATTTACAATATTCTTATTTTTTTTCTTTGTACAGGATGATGAAAGATATAGCTAGCAATATAATAATAATATTAAGAAGTCAACCTAAGTAGTTCACAATACTATACACGTTTTGTTCCACCGAAAGTCAAAGGGTACACTTTTCACTTTTTATACAAAACAGTCTTTCGTTTTAAACAGCGGCAGGTTCACGGTGAACGTATAAACTTTTTTGGTTTCGATCGCTCTGGTTATATCACAAGGCGGGGTTCGCCGCCTCTAGCTTTGCACTTTCTTTGGTTTCGTAACGGGCGCGGGGCTGGGGGCCGGGAGGGTGTCGTCGGCCATGGTCGTCCGACAGAGTCGTCGGCCAGGGTCGTCCGACGGGGTCGTCCGACGGGGTCGTCCGACGGGGTCGTCCGCCGCGGTCGTCGGCCAGGGTCGTCGGCCAGGGTCGTCGGCCAGGGTCGTCGGCCAGGGTCGTCGGCCAGGGTCGTCGGCCAGGGTTGTCGGCCAGGGTCGTCGGCCAGGGTCGCCAGCCAGGGTCGTCCGCCGGGGTCGTCGGCCGGGGTCGTCGGCCGGGGTCGTCGGCCGGGGTCGTCGGCCGGGGTCGTCGGCCGGGGTCGTCGGCCGGGGTCGTCGGCCGGGGTCGTCGGCCAGGGTCGCCGGCCAGGGTCGCCGGCCAGGGCCTGCCCGTCCGCCCCCGTCTGTCGTTGTGGATATGTCTAGAGCAGCATGCCCTGCGCGTCGAGGCCCGGGGCGGCCGCGGCCGTCGGCGTGCCGAGCGCCGAGGCCTGCATGCTCGGCTCCTGCTTGGTGCACTGCTTCATGCACGCCGAGCCCGTGGGCGAGGCCGCCGACGCCCCCGAGTTGGCCCTAGTGGCGGCCAGGGGGGACTTGGCGTCCAGCTCGCCGCCCAGCTCCACGCGGCCGGCCTGGGCCTGGGCGCCCTGCGACTGCTGCTGCTGCTGCTGCACCACGCCCTGGTTGTAGTAGAACGGCGTGCCTGCCGGACAGAGGAAGGAGTGTGGCCGTGAGCGGATGGCTTGCGGAAAGTGCGGGTTTCAGAGAAATCGGGGTTTCACAAGGGGTTGGTGATCTGTGCCGTCCTTGGGTGTACAGCCCGGACCGGCCCGAACACACTCACACATGGTCGAGTACAACTAGAACTAGAAGGACGGCGGAGATCGCCCGTACCCTGCATTGCATCAGAGCGAGCCTTCAACGCAACGAACACGAAAAAAAGGTCGCGAGGGCGTGATATATTGACGTGAATATAATTGAATAGGTCACAAAATGGTAACAAATTAACTTAGGCCGAAACTTGACAATATGACGTCAATTGCCTGATTGCACATTCGCGACTTTTTTTCCTGTTTACTGTACTGGGAAGTGTTTTTTTAGCGACATCGCCTGAGATGGATATGACTGGATGTGACTAATACTCACGGCTACTTACTGAGGAGAGACCCCCCGGCGCCGTACGAGTAGCCGCCGTAGCTCGACGTGTACTGCGAGTAGGGGGAGGTGTAGGCGTACTCGCCGCCCACCACGCCCGCCACGCCACCACCACCTGCGAGGGCAAAACAAAAACAAACCAGCATGAGCAAACGGCGCGAAACAATTGTGAAAAGTTCTCTGCCTTTGCGTCGGGATTGGCGGTCAGTATGTAGAGAGCTGTTAAGAGCTACGTAGCTATTGTTACTGCGTACTACAACTACGTAAAGTAGAGATCGTGCACAAACTTCGTTCCCTAAAGGAAAAAGGGGGAGGGGTACAAAATGCCATGGGGTCGCAAAAAGTACAGGACCGCTGTTGGTGTTATTTATGGGGAGCCCATGATATTTGTACCGCCTCAGGGGTACAAATATCATGGGATCATGGGGAGCCCGATGGCGGTCCTGACCATTTGGGATCCTAAGTTATTTTCACCCTACCCACTCAAGATTTTAATTTTTTGTCAATTATTTTGGGGAAATTTTTCAATTTTTTTTAACAATAATCCTTTAACGTTTTCCCGAAATGTTTAATTTTTTTTCAAATATTTCACATTTTTCCGTTGTTGGTGTTACTGTTTCAATTTTAGAATCCCTATCTAGGACCCGTAGTATGTGCACGGCCAATGAGTATGTACAGCGCCGCTAGATACTGGCAGGCGACATGCGCGCTACGCTAGGAGACAAAATGCGGCTTCGCTCGACGGGTTACTGCAGCGGCAAGCACAAGACCACCATGCTTACCACTTACCGGCTGGCGGCGCCCACTGCCTGCAGGGGGCTCGCCGCGCTTACCTGTCGTCACGTAGTGGGTGAAGCTGGGGAGCATGGTGGGGTAGAGGGCGGCCGGCTCGTGGGGCACCGGGGTCGCGCCCGCGGAGGCGGCGCCGCCGCCCACCGGGGGCGGGGAGCCGGGGGCGGGCTGCAGCACGGTGAGCGCGGGGTCCGGCGACAGCGGCGGCGGGGGGTCCTCGGCGCCGGGGACCCCCACGCCGGGCACGGTGCCCGACACGGTGTACGGGCTCCCCTCTGACAAAGGCATTCAAACACACACACTCTCACACCCGGGCACAACAAGCAAAAAAAAAACCCCGCAAGCAATAACGCAAAAAAGAAAAATGAGCTAAATAAAAAAAATAATCCCTCTAAAAAACTAAAACCGTTCCCCCCTTTCCCTTTCCACCTCCTTAATAAATGCATGGAAGGGACTGCTGAGTTCTCAGAGATCGGTACGCCGATGGAAAACAAAATTCGGCAAAAACAACGAAAAATTTTAGGCAAAATCGCAAAGCTTACCTGTGTGATAGGGAGACAGTCCCGGCGCCTCTAACACCAGCCCGAGTCCAGGACCCAGCTTCATGTCCTGCATGCTGATGGGGGCCAGGGGGGTGAGCGACCCAGTGCCTGCTACAACAACATGCATCCGCTAGGCTTACAAACATGCACTCGAAGCAAATCAGAAAAAAAAAAAAAAAAAAGGGAAACAAGTACAGCAGGAAAAGTTAATTGTTTTTCTAGCGCTGCCGGTTCGAAAAGCTTTTCCAGCCAAATACTGATTCAATGGACTACCGTTTACGCGACAATATTAAAATAGACTACAAAACTTAACTAGTTTCAGAAAGTAGCGAAAAAACAAACAAAAACAACCCAACATATGGTATTAGTTAATCAAACTGTAAACTGGAATCTAGTAGCCTCCATGCAAGCGATTATAGGGATGCAGTTGCAAATCGTGTTGCAAGCACAAGTACAAAAAAACGCAATCATTCTTTCATACAGAGGTTTTTTACTGTACAGGGTGTTAGTTTTGTTGGTGCGAAACAGCCGAAAACGCCCTTTGGTCCGCAGTCTTGGTACGTAAAATAAATAGCCAACTGATCAAAATCGTTACAAAGATTTTTGTTTGTTTGTTTGCAAACTTGAAAATCAAACGTGTTTAGACTGTTTCACACAACAAACCCTTCCTTTTGCTATATGTTTCTGCATAAGGGTCGCAAAATTTTGTGCAACCGAAGGTAGATGCACAGTCTCTCATGCGCAACTATGCACAACCATGTGAGCACGAGACTTTGGGCACGATAGTAATACGGCTGCGTAAAATTGTGCACATTCACGGAAAATAAAAAAGATTAGCTATATAGCTAAGCAATAGCTAAATACGCATATCTGCTAGTTTATAGCTGTCTAGCTAAAAATTGAGATGTGTAGCCAAAAATTTAGCAATGTCAAACAGAGCTAAACTTTAGCTACATAGCTAAATAATTAGC